AGACTGAACTCAGGCCTAGCACTCCCCCAAAAAAATACGCAACTGCCTTGGATGGCCTGGGTGTGTGTATAACACCCGTGGGCAATTCCTGATCCCAAAAAACAACGGTTGTTGTGTTTTCTTACTATCATCGCAGGGTTTGGGCAATGTACAACACGTCTTGTCCTTTGGCAGGGCTTTGACAATATGCGATATCTCCAGTTGGTTTCTTGGCAATGACTGTCAACCTGCAAATTATATAATTGCAGAAGAATTTCCAAGACCCAAGCATACTCAACCTCACTTGTCATCAACTCTCATTGCAAAAATGCTATCACACTGACTTCAAATTGAATTGGGTGCTAACGAGTGAGGTGTTACAGTAAATGTAAAAGGTTTTCATAGACCTGCAAATATGAAAATCCACGAGGCTGCAGGGTTTCCGGACTGTGCCACCTGGATCTTGGGGGCTTCTTTCCCTCCGATCCCTTCGGATTCGTTTCGGTGGAGCCTTCGCGGCCCAGGTGCTGCTGCTCCGTGGCCTGCGTTCGCTCGCCATGCGCCTGGAGGTCGGCCTGTAAGGCGCCACAAACCTGGCACAGCAGTGGGGCAGTTCCTCTCAGCCAGCAAGACATGTAGATGGTTGATAGACATATGTGACATAAGCACATCAAATCCTATAAAACTGCCCCTAGCTGGAGATCATCCACAAAGAGGTGACCAAAAGCTTATGAATCAGTCGACAATCAGCAAGTGGAGAAGCTTTCGTGATTGCTCCTGGGATCCCTTTTGAGCAAATCTCCGCCCCAGCTCCTCACTCCTATACCAGCTAAAATGGTCGAAAAGACTGGACTCACATGTTCCAATGCGTCAATGAGGGAGAATCTGGTGCTATGCAGGTTCATCTCCCCCACCAAGAAAGTAATAAGTAATCGTTCAGGCGTGGCACCTTCTGCCCGGATTTACCTGCACATATACGATACAGTATATATTGTATGTAACTGTCATATATATATATAACCATATTAATATACGCATGTATATATAACCATATATACTGTAAATGGCCATATAAAAATAATATTGCATATAATATATTCAATTTGTAACTATATGTAATTATGCATAGCTGCTTATTACCCTCCGATCACTCTGATGCATCCAAACCCATTGTCTTGTCAATGCATGCGGAATCAACCTGTAACTGCAAAACGCACCATCTACAATCCTGAGAATGCCATCCTGCAGTACGATAGGACCGAATCATCACACAATCACACCCAACTCATCAGTTGAATCTACAACTACTGCATCCACCGATGCTTTGTTGATTTCATCATATTTCATCATATTTCATCTGTCCATTCCCCTCCGCCTTGGCCAGTTCTTCCAGTTGCGGATGACTTTCCGCCACTGCGGGGTCTCGTTCCTCGCGGGAATCCCGGTCTCGCCATAACAAGAGGGACTCCACCTCATCGCCTCGGTTTTTGACGCAGTCGGAGCATTTGAGGAAAACGGTGCCATCTGTTCAGTTGTTCGTTGATTTGAAATGACTGGGGAAGGGAATTGAAAGGATTTAGTTGTTTTTTTGTGGATGTGGCTGGGCTGATGTGCTGCCTGGCTAGGACTCTTTCATGGGCACACGCACGGAGGCCTGCCGGACGAATTCAATCCAAAGGGGCGTGGACTCGGACGAATTCAATCAGATCCAGTGGACTTGCACATCTGTGTATGGGGCGGGGGCTTGTGCCATCTGTGCTGAACTTCCCATTCGTGCATGCATGTGCAAGCCGAAGGGATCATTCGCGGGACTTTTGTCTAGCAACTCCCCAAGGTGGGCATAGAGAGAAAAAGGAGAAATGAAAGAACACAATCTAGAGTAATCAACGTTGCCAACCTACCTGGCAAAACCGAATGTGAATCTTCTTTGCAATTTGCCTGGTGGCCTTGGACAATACATTTTATAGTACAAAACGGTGTTCCCAACCTCCTTGGCTACAAAATAAAAGGTACCATGCCAAAACACCGTACTACAACATAACCTCTGAATTATTGGCTGACCAAAAATAGAGGTCCTTAACCATAATATAGGAGATTGCCCAAGCTGATTTTTTACGCACAACCCCACAGAGCAAATCTGTGGCGGTCCGAGCGGAGCAGCTGCGGGCATGATAGGACAGCACTGGGATATTTCCATGAATGATGTTAGATGATCTATGCCAGTACATGTAGCATGCCCTAAATGTTCCTTGTTCAAGCCCAACATTTGGCTGCAAATCAAGTTCATCTCTACAAACAAATGAAACGCCCAACCTCTCTTTTTGATTATTTTTTGACCAAGTGCATCTCCATACTGTAATACAAAGTAATATTGCCTGAGGCTTTCTGTCATCCCAACTGACGCCCACAAACATCCCACTACAAAACGTTTTGCCTGAGGTCTGGGGTGCAAAATCACAGCACCTTACTAAACAATGCATGGACATCCAAAATGTCCATTTACGAACTGGCTTTCTGTTTCGTAGTGGCCTTGACCCATCCAGTGGAAATTGGCACAAGGATGAATGTGAGTATGTGTTCAAAACACCCTAGAGTAGAGAGACGCATAGAAGCAAGCACAGAAAAACATGCAAACAACCAGAAAGAAAGACCAAACAAAAAAAATGTTGCCAAAAAGCGAATCCCCATGTTGACCGTATCAATTTGAGCTGGCACTTTCACGACCACGAACGGAAGTTCGTAGCCCAGGAAGCCAAGGAACTAACCTTCGTGAGCTTCTCCCACAAACAGTCAATCATACTCACTGTGGCCACCGTCTTTTGCGCGGCCGCTGGAGCATCCAACAGCTGCCAACCCTCTGAAGGTGAACTGCATGGGATTCCTCGGCTCTTCCCCGATGACTTGGGCTGAAGACAGTTGGTACACTTGGGACATCCCAAACCCATTAAAACACTATCGCAAAGAGGTTGGTTTCCACCTGAGGCTGCGCCTGAGGCTCGAATTCACCTGGGGTTGGAATCACCGTCTCAATTGCGTCGCAGCGGCTCGCACTTCGCATATACAACCAGCCAATTACACCGCCGAGTTGAACGGACTGGTACATTGAGGGGTAGCCTTACTATGAACACCCTAGAACCGAAGCCATAGGGAACCACTTCATGTCCTGGCCTCCTGACCTGCAACCTGTGGAGGTTCTTCGCACCGATTCAACCTCAGCTGCTTTGGGACTCTGAGGGCAATGGGCGGCTGGGCGTCTCTACACGGGCCATGGCGGGCGTTTCAGCGATGAGAAAATGCTGGGTGTCTCTTCACCGACACACCACTATTACTTGCAAAGTTTGAGGCTAATAGAAAGTGTAATAGCCTAGGCAGCCTATGTAATAGTAGTGAGTCTCTGTTTGCCGAGGGTTTTCCCAGTGCCGCGTACCCAGTGAGTCTAGAATCTAGAACCTTGGTAACTTGGGCTGGACTTATCATGGTGGATTCCGACACTGGGCCACCAAACCTGTTGTATGCCGAATGGTTCTCTCCTCTTTGGGATCCGGGATCCGGTTGAAAGTGGAATCAGTTGTAGAATTGTACAACTGAATAGTTGATGGCACAACCTGTACAATTCAGGCTGAATAACTGTTGACTGTTGATATCTGTTGATTTAACTGCTGGTTGATATGGTTGATCTTCCAGGCTACTGTGTCCATTCTGCATGAGGGCTCCGTGCAAATTGGAAAAGACCTCGCATGGGCCCAGAAGCTCGTTGAGCCAAGGTGACACGGCCAGCGTGACCGGTCTGGACCAACAAACAGAACCCCCAAAGCCTGTCGGGAGAGGACGTGTCATGTCGTGTGCATGCTATCTGCAACACTTGTGGTTTAACATGTTTATACATTGTTAAACTTTCAACCGGCCCCTTCATTCGCATTTGCCTTCTGGCCACTGCATTGCTTGTAGCAATCCTTCTTCAGCAACTAGAAGCACTTCATCTTTGGAACTCCCCCTGGGAATCGCCAACGGCACTCATCCTCGGGAGGATCCTGGGCGATCGCAACAAGTCACCCGCGCATCGAAACATTAATTAAGGACGGGTGCACAGTGAGCTCGTATGATCTACAAATTGAGCTTGTATGAGGTGCAAGCATGGACAAACATATAGTGTTTGTCCATGTTTGCACCTCCCTGAGATCTTCTATTTGAATCTGGGCACGCGGCACTGGCATCTGGAAGAGGCCCGGTGGGTCATGATGGTCTGTTGGCCAGAACAAGTAGTTGCCTGGGCTTTTCCAACTTTTGGTCCCATAAATGTTTCCCGCCTAAATTGGCTTCTCATGCAGCTTGCTGATTCTCTTCTTGGCCTCTCTCGGACAGGTTCAGAGGTTTCCCCGGTCTCATGGTACAGCAACAGCCGCAAACATGGCAAGCCTGTGCAGGATAACTATGAATATAGGCAAAAGTAGGCCAAGGTGTCGACCGTGGACCCTCTCCAACTGTTTCTCTTCTGGACCATCTCAAGTTAAGTAACTCCCTCCCCACGCGATGTTAAGACACGTCTGGGTCGTGTCATGGACCGTTGCAGTCCAACCCTCTGGAATTTCCTTCGGAATTTCGTTCCCCCGGCCCTTTCCGGCCACCGCTTTTACCGCAAACCATGCGATCGGGCCGACTGCTCGCATCTTGGATGCAGCAAGCTGGCAAAACGGCCGAAACAGTTTCTGGCCACCCCTACGTTGCTCAGCTTCTTCAAAGCTTGGGTTGTGGAGCGGATCCAAAAATGCCGCGGCATGTGGGATGTTTGGCCAGGCCATGCCAGGCCTTAGGTCTCCCCCTGAATCACCGTACTGAACGAAGGACTGAATTCTCGTCATTTTCACACAGCCGTGGTTCCAGCTGCCGGATTTCACCAACAATGGGATCAGTAGGTCTCAACATGTCCATCTCAATACACCACACCATATTATGAAACAGGTGGATCAGGTTGGGGCATCTCATGACGGAAACATCCTGAGGGACAGCTGTGAGCCTCAACCTCAATATTCATCACACTCGGCTTCTGGGACTTCATCTTCTCCATCTCCACCTTCTCCTCCAGCTGCCTTCGGCTCTACAGCCCAGCAGGTGTTGTTGGCTTTGGGTTCCTTCACTTCAGCTTGGAACGGAGTCGTTGGAAGCGACGACGGGTCCCGCTCAGCCAGCTCATTCTCAAAGGAACCTCAGCGTGGTGGAGGGTGCTCAATGCTCCCTATGGGCTCAACACCAAAAACTTTTGTCAGGGTGAGGCTACGTATACATCAAGTCATTCTCAGATGCGTGGCCCAGCGGTAATGGCAGCAAATCGATCGTAATTACCGGTCTCAGTTACGAGTCCAGGGTCTTAAAGAGTGTGCCAATCAATCATGAAGTCATTGACTCCAAAAGGGGCACGGGGCCATAGGTCCATAGGTTCTGTGCTTGTCTCGCAGTCGGTGGTTTTTGGAAATGGGGCACCTCAACCAGCGTGTTGCCTGTCCATTTGCCCTACTTCTGGCAGTGCTTCGAAGCGCGGAGAGAGAAAAAGACATGCACGGCCCCTCGCGGGTATGTCTTCCCACTCGTGAGCAGAAAAAACAACGAAAAAAACACCTAGCTCACTGCAAGGTCCCTGCCCTGCGGGCCCTGCGGGCCCTGCAGGGTCCTGCACCCGAGTGGCTCAAAAGCTTTTGCATCTGGAAGAAGACGTTGGATTGTGGTCGCCCAAAAATGTCGATGGAGCGCTCCCAAAAGGGAAGTCCTGGATCTGCTTGCGCATCGTTCGCGCTGTGTTCCAGATGTGGACAGGGAGGTCAGCGACTACATGGGGGATGGGATGACTCAAATGACTGATGTGTCATTGGCATGCCATCCAAGAGATGTGGTCGGCTTGACTTTATGAAAAAGGATCAGTTGAGCATGCAGTGCTTCTTCTTCCAAAGTTACTATCCTGATCTGAGGGATGTGGCGGTCACAGCACCTGGCCTGGCTTCCTCTCTCGGTTGAACTCAAAGAAGTCCACAAAGTCCAGTATACTTCCTAAATAAACATCAAAGATGACGCCCAGATGTTTGTCACTTACACCGGTGAAATCTAACATCTCAAAAAAATAATCCTTGTGCCGTGTTAGTGTGGCTGCTTTTGGCTAGACTAGTGCGTTCCTTAAGATTTGGAGCTATGTTAGTATTGAAAAGCTGTGGAAACAAACCGGGGAAATCTGGGCAAGGTTGGACGCTGTTGAGTCTAACGTGGAACAATCGAAAGCATGTTTCGAGCCACCTTCTATGTTAGTGTGTGCGCCTGTAGCATTTTGGCTATCTCTAGCATTTCTGTGCGCCTGTAGCGTACTGGGTGTACGCTTGGGAGGGGTGCTAAGGTTCAAGAGGGGTACTTGGGAGGGGTGCTGAGGTTCAACTGTGGACAACAAGCTTGGGAAATCCCAGGGATTGTTGGATGCTTCGAGTCTAACATGGAACATTTCAAGATCAAACACATAGCTGCTTGTTGGCCATCAGGCATATTCTATGTTAGCATCTGCGGTTCCGTTGCAGAAACTAGCCATGCTTACTTGAGAGTGTTCTATGTTAACCTCCAAAAACCACATAGCCTCAACCGGTGCTTTCCTATTTCCCCAGGAGGTCACCGTTGCAGGTGTGTCATGTTAATGAGCACCAACTTTGAGACCCGTGCCGTGCTCTATGGTAAAGTTCCCCGGAGTAATATCTATATGTATGTATGTGTGTATATCCATACATTTATATAGAGAGAGATTTGAGCAAGGCATGTTGTGAGGTGAACCTGTAGCACATGATGACAAATGCAAAGCTCCATATCAAATTGGGCAGTGTGTTGCATGGATCTTGCCGCCGGCACCCTTGGTGGCATGGAGTTTGACGGTGGCTGCAGGGCAAATGATGCCTCCCGGCGAATTCTGCTTTTGCCGAGTGGCCAATCACGAGCTTGGTCAAAATGGTCCCCTTCTTGAATGCTGCCGCAACCCTGCAGAAGGACGCTGGAAAAGACTTTGGATGCATGAAGACGTTGGAGCCCTTGCTCACGATCGCATACCAGCTCTTCACTTCCTGCGATCGTCCGGCAACGAGCTGGTTGCCGACGACAATCATGGGGTCCATTTTTAGGTTACAGTACCGTACATAATCAAACCCCGAATCCCAATCACCAGTTTGTAAATGCTGCCGCTGGGTGGAAGGACAGCGTGACATCCCAATTTCTGCTCAAACCGGCCAATTCCGGGAGGATCCCGCTTTTGTTCTCCGAAACGGCGAAAGAGCCTATGGCCCAGTCAAGTGAACCGAAACAACTCGAACCTTCACAGACCAAGCAACTGACCATGAACCTACCAAAGCATTTTGCCATCCATTCTGCATCATTCTGCCTACCACGTGACATGGGCATGGTTCAACAAAACCCCAAGTGTCTGGAGCTGTAAGGGAGTAGCTCCTTGGTGGCAGGGGATGTTTTCGGGGTACCTACCTGGTTCTTCAAGGTGACCTTTCAACATGAATATCCTGATATCCAGGTTGGAGGTCACTTGAGCCATCTTGAAAGGTCACAAACAGGGTGACTCCAAAAAGGTCACGACCTGAAGGGTCCGCTCACCACCCCTCGAGGTCCGAACGACCGCGACTCACGCGCCTCCAGGTCTTTCAAGCGACTCTGCAGAATCTCAGATCTGCGAGGAGTACGGAAGCCTCAGAGATGGCCAAGGGTAAAGCTGGAAAGAAGTCCTGTTCAGGTAGACTCTTGACGAATAAAACGTATATATAACACCCATATGCAGAGGTTTTGCAATCCAAATAGTGCAGAAGGGTTCGGATGGTCTTCGTTCCTGGCCTTCCAGCTGTTTTGCCCACCAGTCACTCACTAGGACCACTTCACCATGGGAACCCATGGGAACCCGACAGCCGCATGGGCTGCTTGACGTCAGCCATATGGGATGCGCGGAGCCGTCCAGCCGTGGAACATGATGGGAACCATTGAAACATCAATAAACCCATCAAAATCATAGTCATAACCCATCAATATCCCATCAAGCCGTCAGACAACGAATATGAATCATATGAATCATATCTAAGAACATGAAGATCCATCATGTAACAATGTATGCGCTCAAATTTGTAGGAACATGTGCCATGCTATCATGCTGTGAATGCTATCCTGCAAGTCAAGTAGCGAGCTTTGTTGAAGTGCTGGAATGTGAGACCTTCCACCAGCAAGTCGCCGTTGGGAAGCTTCTCAAAACTCGTGTAGTCCGCTTCCGCGTCCTCCTCGCGTACAAACCGAGGACTGAACTGCGCTGCAAGCCACTGAAAATTGGATGCCACGTGGGTACACAAGGGTCCCCCCACTGTGACGTTGCAAGGACAAGCCAATGTGACTTGATGTGACCAATATGCAAAGCCTATGATAGCCTATGCGTGTTTCCCCCAGTCCCGCAGCGGGCGACTCCCTTTCCATCACGCTCAAACAATACGAAGTCGCTCCGCCAGTTGGGCTGCTCCGTCTTGGGTCAACTGCGCTACTCTATTGGCTGTGCCATAAGATAAATGTCTTGGAGCCAAAGAAACAGGCCAGATCATTTCGAGCAGAACGGCCACTTTCCGAGACAAAGCCAACCTAAAGCGAAATGCTGAATCTTTGTCAGCTCAGCGCCCACGTGCCCATCACATAGCCTGCAGAGATCAAAAGCGAAGACAAAGTTATTGTTGTCGGGATTCCTGCGACCAAAAAGTTCTTCACTGTCAGCCAAGGCTTGCCCAAATCATCGACTGCCATCAAGGAATTGACATTTGGAAAGCTGGTCATGGGCAACGCACAAGCTGTAGAGCATGCAAAGGCTCCAAGAAGTACTGCTAGTCGATCAACTCCAGCCTCTTTCCCAAGCTCGACCACTAGCGGCATCAGCACCAATGCCGCCACTGTGTGGGATACAAAAGTGGTTGCACCAACAATCACCAGCATTAGCTCCGCGATCAGCAGCCAAGGACTGGAGGACAAGTGCTCTTTGATGGCATCTGTGACCAAATCTAAAAGGCCGCTTTCTTGAACCGCCAAGCCTCAACAAGGTGACCTCTCCAAAAGCTGTTCAATGGACATATTGGATCCCTGATGATCCCTGCCGTTTTAGACTTTTTGACCGTTTTAGTCCAACTGCCCACCCACCCACCCAAGCGGTAGGTCTCCCCCTGGCCTAAGGCACTGCCTCCGCCGATCAAGAATAGGAGATGCCAGTTGTAAGAGTTGAAGGTTTGCCGCGAAATGCCCCCAAGCCCCAAGGACAAGGCTACAAACAGCAGCGCAACTGATGAGGTGCCGCCAAATGCTTCTGCAGCTGGCGCGTAAGCAAACACGCCAAGCGTGGCTAGAGCACCAAAAAGTCCAACCATCTTTCCACGGGACAATTCCTCTTGCTCGAAGACCACTGGTGGTATCTTACTGACAAGCTTGCCTGGCGCTTGCAAGCGAGAAGCCTCCGATTCCGAAAGGTCAAACTGGTAGACCAAGAGGATCAGCAACCACGACACGAAGACTGCCAGAGTGCAAAAAGGGATGCTGAGCATCAGCCACTCGGCCCAAGAGATGTCTTTGCCTTGCTGCCTTAAGGCCTGCAATGATGCAACGTTCTGAGGAGATGAGATGGGTGTCATCATCCCACCAACATTGCAAGAGAAGGCCAAACCCAAAAGCAAAGCTCTTGAGTATCTGCTGTCAGTTGGCATATCACGAAGCAACGGCTTCAAGACCTCTACCAAAAGCAATGGTGCGGTAACGTTCGAGAGCAGTGCCGACAGCCAAACCCCAAGCCACATCACTGCTAACATGAAAAGGAAAGGCTTGTCGCCCAGCGACCGTTGCAGGAACCAGGCTGCGCGACAGTCCAGCTGACATTTGGAGAAAATGGAACTCATTGTGAAGCCGCTAAGGACAAGAAACAAAGATTCATTGAAGACCGAAGCCAACAGCTTCTTGGCCTAGAACTGATGTGTGGTGCTGACGCCAAATTGTTCTAAAGTATGAGCCTATTTGGGGGGAAAGTGCTTAAGACATGAAGTGGTGAAAAACACTTTCGAAGGCCCGTCTTTGCTACCCCGAACTGGCCTGCTGTTCTTTGCTACCTTCCATGACGTCCAAAGCTGTTGCCAAAGGTGCCACCAACATGGCAGTGGCTTCAAAGGGAGCCGCCTCAGACACCCACATGACGACAGTGAACATCATGAGGCCAAAGCATCGCCGCGCCCTTTCCAAAGGCACCATGAACTGAGCTGACACCACAAAGACCAGCAACCCTACCTTGGACTTGCTGATCGTCCAAAATACTAAGTGGCCCAAAAACTCCCCTGCAAAGTTCCCCAAGACTCAAAAGCGAGTTTCCCCAATTCTTTTGTGGAAGGGGGAAACAGGGACGAAACTTCATCTTAGAGAGCTGCAGGCCACAGCAGCGGAGAAGAGTGTGCGCCGCAAAGACCAGGGTTTCTTCGACAGTCCAACTCCACCAGATTCCATGGCTAAGGAGCGCAGTTCCTGCAATCTCTTTGGTTCTAGTAGCGATGGCCTTAAACCTACTAGCGATGGCCTCCAACCTAGTAATCCCTTCCACCTATTAAAAAACACGAGGGCACCCCCCAATAAGGAAACCTCGGTCGCATTTTTCTAATAGGGGGTCCCTGAAATCAGGGGGTCCAAAAACAGGATCACCTGGAAAGAGTTTCAAAAAAATAATCCAGTAGAATTTTATATAAAATCCTGTATTAAATTCGTATCAAAAATGCAAAAAACCTCCAGATCGAAGGGTCTTCCTTTTCCCCTGCAAAAACCTTCATTAGAATAGTGATTCTTCAGCTAACAGCAAAAGCTTTCGAAAGGTGATGTTGGTGTGGCATGCGGTGTTGCATGACCTCGGTGGCAAGTGCGTTTGCGTGAGTCCGTGCCATTGGGGGAAGGAAAGCCTGCTGGTGTAAGCGCGGCGTGTCATGGTGGATAGACAGGGCGGACAGAGGTGGGCAGTTACGGTTGTTTTTGGAACCTAATAAGAAAAACCCTCCAAAATCGGCCATGTTGGTAGTTTAGTAGCGGCTTGAAAGGGCGGTAATTTAAAAACAAATATAAACCGTATTTAGGGGGATCCGACATGACTTTTTTTTAATTAGGGTCCGTTTTTAAATAGGTACTCGGGATAAGTGATGACCTCCAACCTACTAGCGATGGTCTCCACCCTAGTAGCGCAGCTCCTGCAAGCGCTCAGGGCTCACCAACTGTTCCAACGCCCGGCGACAGGCGCGCGCACGCTCCCCGTTGAAGGGTTCCGAGGACGACCGGGTCGCCAAGGGACTTTGCTTCAGGCTGTGCTCGACAAAACCTTTCTGACAGCTAGTTCCACACTGCTTGTCCATCTTCCTAGGATTGGCAGCAAATCCTGTGCTTAAGGAACCTCGAAAAAGTATGCACTATAGACTATGCAGTCTTCTTGACTTGAGGAAAACACATATAAATATAGTATGTGCAAAACTCCAGGCTTCTTGACGATCTTGCGCAGCGCCTCCACATTTAGAAGAACAAACTCCGTCAGCCTCACTGCTTCGAGATGCAAAGCCGAGACCTCCTCTGCATGTGGAGAGCCCGAGAGTTGTGCACCTTCGGATTCTTCGGATGCCACGAGTTGTCGCACCCGGGCCTCCAAGGCGGTGACTTTGTCCTTGTACCATTCACCCACCCGCACCAACTCATGGTCGACAACTTGCATGAACTCCTCCTGTCTCTGTTGCATCGCTTCCTCCTGCAAAAAGGGATTTGATGCGCCGTTCTCTGCACTTGGCCTTTCAGCCGTCCAACTGATTCTGCGATCCCACTCGCTGTCTGTCATGGCTGCACGTGTCACATCATCATTGTTGCTGCTCCCAACCGCCTCAAGCTGCTTGATTCGCTTGATCTGCTCAAGTTTTCTTTTCAAGCGCCCGTATGCCACATACTTGTCACGCCATGCAGGAACGCTGCGTTCTTCAATTTGCTTCTCCCATGCCACCATGGCACTCAAGCTGGACTGTAGAGGCCAAGAACTGCCTTAACTTATTAATTAGCTATGTGTTTTGTTTGTGCATGGCTACACATCTTCGTCATGCAAATTTGTACCCTGAACGTCCTGGTCCTTGTCTATTCCACTCTGGTCTGAGTCTGCAATTGCAACAGGAGTTTCATCTGGTGCAGAACAGTCTGTCAGTCGGCCGCGGTGAGCAAAGCACCCCGCAGGGTCAACATGTAATAGCTCACTAGTCACACGCTTCACCGTGCTACATGCCCGGGCCAAGAACATAAACCTCCGGAACCTTCCAGACTTCCAGGAAAAAAGCAGCTCCACACAAAACAGGTCCTCCACATCTTCTTGGTCTGCTGGCGCATTTTCTCCCGCTTCTTCTTCGATGGCCTTTTTAATCTCCTCTCTTCACGAGCAAATGATGATCCGTTCTTCACAGGCCAACTGGTCGATTGCAAATTCACTCCGCAGCAAACATGTCTTCTACGGCTACTTTCGTCGCCGGAGGCCTTCTCTGCGCGGGTTTTGGACAGTTGGAAACTCTGCCTCGGCTTCGTTGCTACACTGCCGTACCATTGTGTTGGTTTCAAGGGTTCGAGAGCACCTGCCGTACCTTGTCCAAACAAACTTTAAAGGAGTTATGCTGGACCGTTCCATATCAGCAACATATTGAGTTTCCTGAGTTCTGTCCATGGATCCGTCGGGCTCAAATCCTGGGGGTCCCTGCAGTTTTCTGGGAGTCTTGGGGGTCCCTGGGGGTTTTGGGGGGTTCCTGAGCGTTCTTGGGTCCTTTCAGCCTACGAATCTGGTTCGGTTTGGTGTCCGGTCGGCACTTTTCACCGGCGTGGCTGGAGATCCATGGAGCTTCACAGGCCGAGTTTCGTGGGTTCCCTTCATTCTGAACCGAGTTTCGAATCCAGGCTCACCCTAGAAAAACACAGGTCCAATTACAAAATGCCAGTGGTAGCCGGTGGCTGTGGCTGTCCGTCCTCCTGCAAATCCTTCGCCGTCTCGTCCATGGAGTCCAAATTTGCCTTCCAATGCCTTGTCATCAGCGCACCTGACGCCGACGCCGCAGCGGTCCAGTCATCGCTCAATTTCGGTGGCAAAGCTGTTTATGAAATCCTGCACCACCTCAAAGCATGCCAAAAGGTAGTAAATGGCCGTTTCCTCGCCTCAGGGGTGCAACCCAACCACCTGTGGTCAATCATTCGTCAGGATAAACATTGCATTACTTTACTAAGGTGCAGGTACGTCCGAACCATTTGGGACAAACAGGTTCCTGTCACTTGATGCCCTTGATGATCCAACCTTTTGCTCAATATCGTCACAAACCATCACAAACCCAATGTGATGGAGAAGGGATGGTTGTGCCCTTGCAATAATCACTTGGGACATGGGCACGGTTCCCGTAGTCATCGGATCTTCCTCACAACGCCATCTTGATTGGATTTGATTGAATGTACTTGTCCCGAGGGGCAGCTATTGAGAAGCTTCATTCATTGGGGGCTCCAACTTGGGTCACAAAGCAATGCCCCCAGGCCCCAGCTACACCTGCTTGCATCAGCATCATTGCGGCAAAGTGGTCCTTCCCGGTCTTGTAGTCTCCTCGATTGGTTCGCAGGCTGGGTGCAGCAGCAACAAATGCCATATGTTGGCATCTGGCTGGGGGTCCAGAAACGAATCTGGCGCAGGATGAAGGCATGAGCAGCCCTAATTCTCACAGGTCTTGTGGCCTAGAAGATCAAACAAAGTAAAAGTCATCTAGTGACTAGTGTCTACACACCAGGATTCCTGCAACTTGAGGTGCACCTCCATGACCGATCGTGGAGGTAAAGGGTCCCACTTTACCCAAAGGCTCCCAAAACCCGGGCCCAACACCTGCTCTTAAAACATCCTCAAACCACAAAGAACTTCCCCTCTGGCCAACGCCAAAGGCTCGGTCCAACAAGGCCAACGCCCCACAGCGTTCCTGGGCACGTTGCAGGCAAGCCAACGAACACCGTCCCAAGACTCAATGAGTTCCGAGAAAACAAGGGTTGGTCACTGGCAAGTTGGTACTGCCCCGGACTAGTGGCCTTGAAAGGGAAAGACCTGGACCTGCATGGGAGCTTGAGTATCCACGATTAAAGGGTATCCGCATAGCTTTTCTGCAAGTTGTGCCCTTGGTGCCGTTTGTAGATGGCCCACACCCCGCGCAAATTGACGGGGGGCATACCACTACACCCACTGTAGATGCTTTCTGTTGTTCAGTCATGCGGGAATTGGGAACATCTTCCACGGGGCTCCCATCCGGCTGAGCCTCCTGTAGAGGAACCGCACCTGCTGGTGTGAAACTGCAAACAAGTAGCACAAAAGGCATGGATGTTCTATCTCGTGCGCACCGGCAATCTCTCGGAAAGTCACTCCAAGCTTTGCCACCGGATTCTCTTACCAAGGCTCGTTGCCACCCTCTTCATAGGCCTGTCGCATGGAACCAGCGCTTAGCTTTGTTGAAGCTTCCTCACTGTGAATGGAAAACCCTGGATATGCACCATTGATATCCTAGAAGGTCCGAACCGCAGGATTGATCAATACCACAAAGCACAACACCGTGGTAGGTTGATTTTGTTGGTAGTCCATGTTGCTTCCTTAGAAGTCGAAGAAAAGCCACAGCTGTGTGAGCGTCAAGTCGTAATTGTCTTAATTATATAATGCTAAACATCATAGACTAAGCAAATCTAAAGTTCAGCGCCGTCTCCTGTCAAAACTGGTAGGACTAGGACCAATGCGATCGCACAGGGCGGGCGATATTCCCTGCCAAAAGGGCAACAAAAACACTCAAACAGGTGGTCTACATTATGTTACACCACCCGAAGTTACAACACGTTGGTGGCTGTGACTCATTACAGCGTTTAGGATCAACTGGTAGTTACAGGACTTGTCCATCAACAAAACCACCTGAAAATAACTAGACTAGTGACTAAACCAAAACGGGTTTAATTATGTTTCATTTATAATCCTGAAAGTCCTGGATGCTCAATTTAAACGCTACTTAGCACTATGCAGCGATTAATTACCAGGCCACCTGATTTAAGATTTAGTCTGCACGGTTTGCCCGTGGAACTTCGAGGCTTGCCCGAGCGCCTGCCACTTGAAGCAAACATGCAACCAGCATCTGAACCAAACACACGGAACCAGCATCTGCCTGCATGTAAGCGTTCTCCAAATCAATCTCTGGATGCTTCAGCAGCAGTTCTAGAATGTCTCGGCGAGGGGCCACCAGCATGCGGTCCTGACAGCACAAATCCGAGCTCAAACCGCCAGAATCCGAACCGGAATGACCGAGGATGATTGTCCAAAAACATTCCAAAAATGGACTTGCCCTAGCAAAACCAGGGCCAGGTGTGGGTTAAATAGGTGCATTGATGGAGCATCCTGGGACCAATCAAATGGTAACCATTGGAGCATTATGTAAAACAATGTTTGCTGGGTGCGGCTGCTGATTTTGAGGAACTATGGAAAACCATGTGACAAGGAATCCCTTGCCTGACTTCTAGCGAGTGGTGACAAGGGAATCCAATTGTTCAAGTTGACCTCAGTTGGAGGTGGAGATTCATGACAGGTGAAGATTCAACAACTTCAAGAATTGTTTGTTCATATCATGTCTTGCATGTTTGTGCAACATTGGGTGGTCAAAATCCCTACCTCAAAAAGGGGTAGCGGGTAGTGGCCTCCAAAATCAATTTCAAGGTGGACCCTCATGCATATCCGGGAGCACCTTACAATCAACAAGGGAAAACCTGCGTATCCGTATCCTTCAAGAGGCAGCCCCAAGGATACAAATGAAGAACAGTGACCAGCCGGCGGCCGAAGCAGCCCTTGGACCTTTAACAAAGCCACCAAACGGGACCCAAGTGTTCCATCTGGCCTCGTGCCAGTCATCCGAGGGGGTGCCTCCCCAAGTCGAACACACATACATATGCGTTCTTGCTCCTAGTAAGAATGCTACTAGTAGCGATGCCAGGAGCCCCTAGTAGCATCCTTTGATGTCCTTTGCTCCTATATCATATGCGTTCCATATCTTCATATTACAGTACTTATAATCCAACGCCTGCAGGAGACCCCTCTCTGCACGGACCCCAGGACGAGCTCCAAGTCACTGACTCGGCCGTATGATAGCAGGAACCAGTGTCCAGGTCCTCGATGAGTGCCATTCCCAACGGGGTGCAGCGAACATGGGAGCCGTGCCATCCATACCTTGAGAAGCGACAAGTGTGGCAGCATAGGACAAAGCATGGTGCAAATGGTAGGAGGGCAATTTGCACCTTGTTGAGTCTTTAAACATCTTAGAGTAAAAGGCCTCAAACCTCAGAATGACCGATTTGTGGCCAAGCATGAGCAGCAACTGAACAGAAATGACCAGACTTTGGGGTCTAAGGAAGCTTTCCACCAAACCATGCCAGGTCGCACAACCCAGGTACGGTACGGATGGTCTATTCAAACAAACCGCACCTTCTTTCGCTGACTAGCACTGTCTAGCACCCAACGGCACTGCATGCCGAAGCCGAGTTGTACCGCGTGGCGTGTCGAGTTCCCCAGCCGGCTCCGGTCACCAGCCGGCTCCTCCCTGGCTCATTGTCCCGCATCCAGGAGACGAATAAGCGCCACGATTGGGATCCAGCTCCGGCGTCTCCAGCAACACCTGCGAGGCGGGCCTTTCCGCCGTTCGGCGGAGTGAGGACAACCAACGACCCACAGGTCCGATCAAAGGGGTCCCAATGGGTTCCGACCTCTACGGCCAGTGTCAAGTGACCTCTACAAAGGAGCCGACCGTGCTGCGTTTGAATGAAAATGATCAAGGGATAGCCTGAATGACATGAACACAAGAACCTGTCAAAACGATTCAAAATGTGCTCCATTACACATGCAGTTACTTCAATTTTTAGTATATGGGTTGACATGCTCAGGCACATGCTCAGGGTGGAGAGTCTACAAATGGCAAATAGCGGTATACACTTTGGTGATTGAATGTGGTTGGCATACAATAGTGAAAACGGTTTTCTAGTCTGAGCCTCGGGACCACATCCATTGAACGCCCTACAATTTGGGGCAAAAGTGGGTGTGAAGAAAAAAGAAAAGATGACAGAAGTAACAAGAAAAAATGTTCAAACCACTCTCCAATTGCTTTGCTTTGAATCCCTGGGCCCCGAGTGACGGCTCGGACCGAGTGTGCGGGGTGCGGACTTGGCAGCTGCCTGCCTTGATCACCTCCAGGTTGCTTTTAGACTCCATGACTTGCCAGGCATGAGGTAGATTGAATCGAAAGAAGTTGTCGTACCTCAAGTGCCAGGATCATCTGGCAAAAGCTGTGAGGTGCGTGAAAATGGTGGAGAAAAAGCACCAAGAGAAATAGGAACTCCTTACAAACAGGTCAGGTGGTTTTGGAGGTTTCATGTTGGGCTGTCGCCGGGCAACTACCCTCAAATGAAGCTTTCCCTCATGGGGGAAGCCTATAGATCCGATAGTGCAAGCAAATGGGCTGACAGTATGGTCCCAAATGGTCGCTAAAACCACCCCATGTGAAATCCTCACCCGCAGCGAGCCAACCGGCGACCCAAGTCGCCATCTGCGTTCGAAGTTCTTCCGAATGGCCAACACCAAGGGGGACACGGTGGCGGAGTCCCCATCCTGACCGCCGACATCCCCGAAACGGGCGCCACAGCGGCCTTCGAAACACCACGGTGGCCAAAGCATCCTCTGCACACCAGTGGTCTCGAATGTCTACACATATATTGCAGGCACATATATATATATATATATTGCGTACTGAATATACATATATATATGTAATGTATGTATATTCAGTACGCAATATCTCGAGGGCGTGTTTTGTGTTGCATGCATGCGGCATGTTGCATGTTAATGTTCTTCCTGTTGTGGTCATAATATTAAATATTTGATAAATTTTGTATGTCTTTTCTAGAATGGTAGGCGGTAGGTTGGAGGGCCAGGGTCAGGATCTTATGGAGTCCAGAGAGCTTCATCTGCCAAAGTTCTTGCTTGGGAACACAATGAGAAATATAGGCACCAATATAAAGTGAGCCCTAGTAGGGCTTGGACACTTTACATACCGTTCAAGAAAATATCACTCAAATTACAAATTCAGGATCGAAACCCACGGCTACTTGTGATCAGCTGAACATCCCCACTCAACCCGACTGAACATCCACATCGCCCTTGCTTGTTCTGACCAGCTGAAGCCGCCAAGTGTCCACGTGATCCATATTGGGATCCGCAGTCTTCAACATCTCCTTGACCTCCTCGGGCTTCCCACGACCGATGGCCTTGCAAAGCTTCACATGCGTCGGCCACTGATCCACCTGGGCGGAGTGTTTTGTGTCTCGACCGGGCCGACCGACCACAGCAGCTTGATACAAAGTCGCAGCCGTTCGATGGGTCCTGTCTTTTATTTTCCCAATCTAATTATATACTTCCAAATGGGCAGCATAAAGCTGCTGTACTGTCTCATGGGCCAGCTCTTGCTAAGAAGTATAAGACGTCCATAGTGAGCAGCAAACCAAATTACGTGTGTAGACAAAACCCTTTGACATGATTATTTGCTTTTGGAGTGGTGCATATCGTGGTCCAAATGGTCCTTCAAGAACCCTACTCAAATAGCATACCTGCACATAGACTTGAACACCAAATGACCAAATGCATCATTGTTTCAATGGCCAACCCAGAACCTCAGATTAAAGGCTTACAGTGCTTTCTGCACAGGAATGGCATAGGAGTTGTCGTATTTGCTTGGGTTCTTGTGGCACTGGGCTGCGTAAAGATCACAACACATAAACGGAGACCTAGGATCTCGGCCCATGTATCAAAGCTAGTAATGTTTGGAAGTAGGTTTATGGAGTGACTGGCAAGACATTTAGGTTGTCCACAATTTAGAATAAACACCTACCCGGTCCTACCCAAGTCGGCAAACTCTGGTGTGACTAATCCCCCACAGGGTCAGGTGACCACCTCCCAAACCACTTGGTGTGTAGTGCGCACAAACCGCAAAACCAGGCGGTTTGGGGGTCTCATGGGGTCTGCGTTGATTCTAAAAGGTCTCAACTATAGTCCGCACAACCGAGTCCAGCACCTTCGCCTTGCATTCCTTGTAGAGCGACCTCGGCGCAAGAAAGAAACACTGGTGCAAAAAGGAAATTATCACGTGGGTCGGGTCGGGTAAGGTACCGGAATTGTCAACACACTCCCACAACCCGTTGGTTTCAATCCCGAATATACAGATCTGAAAAGAACTTGATCAAGAAGGCAGTCTGGATTTCTGTTGCTCCAAGAATTGCGTGACCATCCCTGCACTTGACTTGCACCCTTCCTGGTCCTGTAATTACGTTCATTGAGCCTTCTTTGGAATGGCTGATTGATGCTGATTGCATTGCATCTTCAATCTGAATCTTCATCCATATCCGACCCATGCCGTATGGCTTGGAAGGCATGTTCGCCAAAGAAATTCCATTGCAGCACCTGAAAGTAAGTCAGATTCAAATACTGTAAGGGCGAGCTGAAGAATAAACACAAAAGGTCATTCACGTCACGACCTTCACCTAATTAGGTTACGACCTTCACCTTCACCTATACATGCCCTCGTTCCCAAAATGTAAGTGGACCACAAGCTTGCTTCCAACAGGTGCAAGTTGTGAGTCGTGAGCATGTCCGCTTTAGACGGCTCGAAGCTTTCAGAATTCCCCGTCATTCCCCTCTTCCTGGTTGGGAAAGACCAGCCCAAGTTCAAACCGCCGAGGTACGCAATCTTCTCTGCCTCCTCCTTGTGCAAAAGGCCTCAGGGCAGGCAAACCGCTACCCAAAACTGGCTCAGCCAGTGGTCATCTTCTACTAGCAAAACTTCACTGGCTGCTTTGCAGTGCATTGTCGTCAAGCTTTTCAGGGGCTCCCCCCCTCGAAGAACAACAAGTAACTGAATCCAAATATATGGCCCAGAAATAAGAGCTGCAAGACGAGTTTCCTCAAAACAAGTGATGATCCGGCAGGGTCCAGGTTTCCCAAACAGTAACAGGACATATGACATATGCATATGCAATGGAATTACAATGAAATACATAAGTTCCACTGGGTCTGCCCAAAAAATAGATCGTCATGGACCATCAATAAATCAACACAATCAACTTATGAAATCACATTCCCATAAATTCCCCAAAGTGCTGTTACTAAAACGGAGATGACGACATGAAGAGTTCGACCCCAACCTCTTTTTCCCTTTGCAGGTCGGTGCTTTTGGGGGTCGGTCCCCCCCACATCCGTCGGTGACCGAGCTCGGTGACCGCCCAAGTGCCGGTGATGTCGGCCCCCCAAGGAGAGCACATAGAACAAGCCAGGAATGCTCAGATTGTCAAACTGCCTTGGATCACTGCTTCCAAGGAGGGGTTGTATTGACATTGTCGAATCGAAATGGCTGGGCATGCTGAGCATGCTGGAGCACCGAAAAATCCAGGTGGCGATTGAAGAGCGCAACATCTGCCCTCATCATCCTTCTTTTTCAACTCCTCGATGGCAGCAGCGCGACCTCGAAAAGGCCAGCGAGCAAGAATTTAGGAACATAAAGCCAATGCATGGCACGGAATCATGCGAAGAGGATGTCAAAGCATGGATATTGATATCATGTGGTCCATTGATTCCGTAAAGATCCTAAGATCTTTGGAGACTGTTTTTTCAAAACAGCTGGTCTTTTCCTGACCTCGAGGGAGTAGCTCCTCCTCCATGAACTTGAGCTTCCAGCTCTCCTGACCAATCCAGAAAGATGGAATCCGCGGCCGGAGGTTGAGTCTGAAGAACCTAAATCTCATTAAAGCAGATTATGTTTTTTTTTCTCTCTCTCTCTCTCTCCATATCGCCCTCCTCATGCGAAAGAATATCGTTATGTACCTGCGAATTTGTCGGGTCTCGTTGGTGAAGGTAGTTCTATTGAATTATGCATTGTTAGTGACGTCAAACACTCCAAAGGGTCACCTCCCCCGCTGGGACTCAAATATTGACAAGTTCTGATGCTCCTTCTCTGCTGTCATGCAGCAATGGGAGGAAAAAGGACAAACCGACAAACCTATTTTCTGGCAATTTCTTCGTGAACACCTGATCTTACCCAAAAGATTCCAAAAGAGATTCCCAAGCTATGACATGTGTCAAATGTGGTTAGCAAACCAGCCAAAATAAAGCCAATCCATCCAAATCCTCAGGTTGTCGCAGCTTTTGCATCGATTCTCACACACTCTCTGATTGCAGTGAAGTCTCTCTTTCGTCGAACTGGAAAAAAGATGGAGGGGCGCATGTGAGCAGCCAGTTGGCATCCTGGCCATCAGGACTTTTCTGAGGACGTCCTCATGTGCTACCATGTTCTCACCAAAGTCCAAGGGCCATCGCCCCCTTCGGCACCATCCTGTTCGTCCCATTCTCGCCTTTATGACTTCGATCTCTGCAGGAGGGATGAGGCCCATGACCTCCCGCACCAGTTCTTGGGTTCCCTGGGCTGCGGAAAGCACATGCAGGAACACCAACATGTCAGGAGCCGATTCCAAAAATCTGACTGCTTCCGAAAATCCTGGGATACTTGGGGCATGGAAGGCCCTTGGGACTTCCCTAACTTCGCATTTAAATAGACACTATATACAGCTTCTCCAAAACCTCCAGGTCTGAGAGGTAGATCCTCAGTTTAGACTAAAGTTTAGACCCACGGCGTTTAGATTGTCAAAGCAGCCCGGTCGAAGGCCACTTTGAAGGCCGCCTCCCCGTCTGCGACCGGAATCGTCTTCCTGGGCGACGGGAATCGTCCATCGCCACGGTCGGAACTTGTGACGTGACAAGTCACACGAGATGACCCAACAGGCTATTAGGAACTTGAGGCCAGAGGGGGTGAACGAAAGCTAGCCGGGCTTCCGGTGGTCTGCTGCTGGTGCTGCTGCTGCTGGTGCTGCTGCTGCCGCTGCTGCGCTGGGCGCTGCTGCGCTGGGTGCTCTGCAGGCGCCGGGTCGTCTGCTGCTGCTGCTGCTGCTGGCGCTGGGTGGTCTGCTGCGGCTGCTGCTGCCGCGGCGTTGGGTATGCTGCTGCTGCTGCTGCCGCTGCTGCGCTGGGCGCTGCAGATGCTTGGTGTGCTGCAGCTGCTTGGTGTGCTGCAGCTGCTTGGTGGTCCCGCTCACCGCGCGCAGGGGGGAGTCGAACCGCGGGGGGGGGGGGGTCCATAAGATTGATTTAATCAATTGTTTAAGGTTTCTGAGGTGCGTCCACCCCGTCACTTAACTTGCTAAAGCAAGAGCAACTCCAGCTAGCTAAGGCTAGCTTTCGTGACAAGGGCATAGCTGCTAGTAACAAGGGCATTACTACCAGTAGCTAATCCGCAGCAAAGCGATGCAAAGTGCGTCAAGAATTGACATGAACCGACTGTCTGGTCCAATGACCTACCCTTGGCACCTTGGGATCGAACTTTGCATCACTGATTCACTTCAGGCATGATCAAAAATATCACCTCAAAAAAGAAATCCAAGTCCAGTCAAACCAAGCTGCATCAAGAGCTCAAGGCCTTTCTTGTAATAACAGGCCTTAAAACAACTCAAAGTGGACATCGGCGTCCCCAACAAATCTGCTTCGGGATCGTCCGCAAGCTGATTCTGTGCCCAGGAGATCACTCTCTGCCTGATGGGTTTGAAGGAGGAATGCTCTGACACGCGTCATGGGATGCCACACTCTTGGCATGGGATCCTGGGCGTTGGGATCTATATATAAAAGTTCTGTCAATTTGGGAACAGGGTTTTCCACCTAACAGTTTACTGTTGGGGTTCTATCTTAGGCAAACACATGGCCTATGCCTCAACTAGGAACTAGGGGACCACGTGATTATACCCTGGAATATTTTGCCCAAACTCCTTTGACATAGAGTTTTGATAACTATTCCAGACGTGGAATCATTGTTGAAACCATTTAAGTCACTGGATGCAAACAAAAATTTACGACACAGGTGGGTTTTTTTAGCAAACTGTGTGACTGTGATGATAGTGTTTTTGCTTCAGTCTTGTTAAAGCATCTACAGGATCATGACCTGACATAGGTTTAGATACATTTCAAGTTTCCACATACCAAAGGGTCACTGTTAGTTTCTAATCTACTTGTGAGAAAGGTTGTAACATTTTTCGGTGTCTACATGACCTTGACCTGACAAAGGCCTAGATTAAATGAAGTTACCCTGTCACTGTACAGGTGGTTTATATATCGATAAATATATATATATATATGATTTGGAGCAGGGTGTAAATCACAGATTTTTGGATTGTGTTTTTTCACTATCTACATGTCCTTTGATCACTCCAAGTTCCTAGGCAAACTTTGGCTTGCTGCACCCTACCCAGGGGCCTGACAGGAAGGACAGAAATTATTCCAATAGGGGGCTGACATGTTGACATTTCATCTACTACAGGAAACATTCTGCCCAGGCACCACCCCCAGGAATCCAGGGCCAGCACAGCCAGCAGCCAGGAGAGAAGCTACAGTGGGGGTTGACATCTCACATACTACAGGAAGCATTCTGCCTAGGCACCATCCCCAGGAAGCTTGGTGGGATAAACAAATAGATAATAGAGCCATCTACAAACAAAGCACCCCAGGGGTTGGAGGATTGGAACACCCATCTTCCCGTTGACCCTTCATTGAAGATGGGACTGTTCTCCAATTCTTCTGTTGTTTTTGAATTCTATCCAAGGTTCATTTTCTCTACTCACAAACCAAACTGAAATTGAACAAGCAACGTGATCTGCTATGAAACTTGTTCCGCAAGAAAGGTCTACCCCCCTCCCCCCTTTAAATGATTCTGCGGAAATTATTCTGCAGAAAATGTTTCAGGAATCCACGGGGACCGGTGGAATAATTTTAGTCCCGGATTGAAAAATAGAACCGCGCCAGCTCGTACACAATGCTCCACCTCACACTTTGGACTACGTTCTCCACGAGGAAAATCGCCTGTATATAAACATACATCAGCAAAATGGACGTATTCCACCTACACTTAGAAGGAGGGGTCGCCACGAGATATTTTTGGCCCGGCTTGGCGTGATCGGGGTAAGTTGCCCCTCGTGGGCCCATGAATGGGGAACGTTTGGGGAAATACCGGACTGAAAGATAGAATTTATGACGTGGTTCTAACTTGTGTGACCTTGTTTTAATGAAGTCCAGCAATTTGCTTTAGGAACTCTTGGTGTAATTTGGGGTTGGAACACTGACAGATTCCTGTCACAATGTCTTACGTAGAACTACTATTACTAGGGAAGGGCTCAAGTCGGAATTGCAGGCCCCAGGCGCAAGGTGTTGGCAGGCACTTTCATGCCAGCATTTTGCAGTCATTAATTGCAGGAGTCTTCGCAATACATATCCCTATACGCGTTTCAATACTGGCATACGTTGTCCCCTGCTTTGACAAATAACATCGCATGACATCAACTTGACATAACAATCATAATTCATAGTGATGCAAAGAGCCAGCACTGAACGCACTAAACACTAAACGCTGTTTGAAAGCGACATATCGCAAGGTAATCTAAAGCACGGATCGGCCAGGTGGCTGAGCAGTTTCAAAGTCCGTCTTGCCCTGGCAGAAGCTCTTCAACTCCGACTCTGGAAACATCCAGGCGGGATCATCCTCATAGTCTCCGCATCCAGCCTGGGATCGAGATAAGAAAGAGCACAAACAGCCCATGATAGCACGAGATGAGAGAAGGGGCCCCGCTTCCAGAGTCTACAAATGCATTGCGCACCAGACCGACGCCCAACCCCCGAGGCACTCCAGGTGGCTTAGCCATTGAAGTGCTATCAACCCTCCTTGCAAAGAGACTACGTTCCAGAAGCTGAAGCTTTATTGAATTTTGCTGCAACATGGTGCAACTAGTACACAAATACATCCGGTCAATCTTCAGCTTCTAAAAGCTTGATACACGGGTCATGTTCAAAAGAACTTGCAGGAGGAAATGGTTATATACTTGGGTACTGTGGGTTTCGGGTCTATGGAGATGTATTGGATTTCCCGTGCCCCTGGGCATGGCAGGCGCCTGTGCTTTGTTTTTGGTCACCACCTGGGGTTTTGCGCTGTGGAGCATGCAGAACCGAAGAGAACATGATATTGATAGTTGGTCTCCAGTGGTCTGGAATAACAAACTTGAGAGGAGGGAGACACGAAAGGTAGGACAGCGGGAAGAGAAGAGAACGCGAGAGGCAGGAACAAAAATGCAATGTTCGACATGGTGATTTATCCCCTCGGAGGCGACCTTTAGGCGACCTTTCGTAAATATATGTTCATATGCCATATGCACTCTAAATGTTCAAACATATGCTCTCGAAATGTTCAAAAAGGTTCTTAGGAAAACAAACTTGCCCCATGGCTCAGATCATCGGTGAGCATTGAATCGGAACATCATAGGATTTGAACTATCCTGAAACCATAAGAGGCTCACGAAGACGCTCCCCAGGAGAGAATTGACGTGCTTCACAAAACAAACTCTAGGTATGTATCCCCTCGGGGAACACCTTTCGTGATTAGAATTTCATATTCACTCTTTCTAAATGTTCAAGAGGGTTTCAACTATCCTGAAATCATGAGAGGCTCACGACGAAGACGTTCTCCAGGAGAGAATTGATTTTAGAGGGGGGGAGGGGGGGGGGGTCTGTATTGAAAAATCAATTCCAAGGGGGCGGGGGGGGGGGGGGCTGGATTGAGCGATAAATTATTAGACCCGGACGTCCCAACACTTGCTTCGCAAGACAAACTCAAGGTATCCCCTAAAGGGCTACCTTTCGTGATAAATGATCCCAGACCAAAAAACTCAATCCAATTCCAACCCATTCCACGTCCTAGTAGCAGCCTCATCCTCCTCACAATTCTCCTCAGCTTCTCCCAGTTCTTTCGTTGGAGGAGTGAACTTCTCCGACACTGGCAGCTGCACCAGTTCACTGTCGCCACCGTCGCCTCCGCCCGTGGGCGCCTTTGCCAACGGCGGTATTGCGCTGGCGCCCGTGCCCATGGTGGAACTGTGTTGATCGCTGGGCAACTGGAGCCACGACCACCAGGCTGGCGAGAAAAGAACATACACACCAAACAGCTCTGAAAACGGCCCCGAAAACCCACGCGGATCCACGAGGGGTCTGGTTGGCAAATGTTGGCCACCGCAAGTGCACCAGGTCCCGGAAAATAGACACCATTCTCAGTGACATGTTCCACTCCAGCTAAATGCTAATGTATGCTAAACTAGCACTAGAAACCTGGACCCGGACCCTTGTGGATCAAATTCGACCAATCCCCAGCTAAAGATGATCCCTGCGATCCAAACACGCGCAGGAACAGCGGTGATGGGAAGTTCAGGCCTTTCCGCAGCGAACAGGTGCGGACAGCCCCCAGGGCTCGGACCATTCTATTCAGCAACCAGCATCTGAGATGCCAACTGATTGCCATGAGCGCAGGTGGGCGCCTCAGGCCGGTTGTCTGGACATCGGCAAGCAGGGCACCGGGGGAAGGGAAAAGGATAAGAAGATCTTCTCATATCTTCTCATGCCATTTCACAAGGCCGAGAAGTTCAGGCAAAACAGTAAGATACAGCAAGTAACTATCATAATATACAAAAATATCCTGAGCATCCAGTGAGTATCCACCCCCACTCCACGCCCAGCAACATTGCACATTCCACGTGTCGCATGAAGACATGTGACAAGACCATTCTTCAGTTTCCATACGCAGCAACCCCTCCAAAGAATACTCACCCCTTCCCGATGCCAAGCCCTTGTTCCTTGCAACAGCGGAGAGAAGGCAGCGAGAGTCTCAGTCCAAGCGAGGGCCCCTAGTTTTTCGAAGACCTCTTCTTACAGATCCGGCTGCTTTGAATCTGGCTCCCGCTGGCCCCTGCTGCACATGGAGTACTACACACAATCCAGTATGCGTGTCGTTGGCGTTTCTCTTTTCCAAGGTCACCTTTGTCTGAGAGTCTGCATGTGTCTGTCGAAAGTTGCGCAATCATGCGCAATCAATAAGAACAATAATATATAATCCTCTATACCGCGGAAGGTCAACATGAAACATCAAAGCATATCAAGGCAAATGATTCGAGGCAGCATGAGGAAACTATAAGTCTTCTTTTGCAGCCAATGCGGGAGCGTTCGGAAGAACTCTATATTGCCTGGTCTTTGCAGGTCGGGGAGTCGGGCAACTCTTGCAAAATTCGGGCCGAACATGGCCGAACATGGCCGAAAACCAATGGGCTCGGAAAATGAACATGGAGGACATCCAATTCTCAAGCAGCAATTCAGCGGGCCTGAAGTCTGCCCTTCCTGGGGAGACAAGAGCCACGTCATGGTCTACTGGTCTACTGGTCCTGCACCCGAAATCCGACAGCTGAATCTGAGGTGGACTGTTGACTCAGGGGGACATTGGCACCGCCCCAGACCTGGCGGTCCAAGATTAGGTACCCTTTCCAGCCGCCAACGGGCCAAGAACCTTGGGTGCCTGGGCCTTGTTCAGCCAGATTGGAACAAAATGATCTCTCTCCCTCTCTCTTTCACAAAGATCTGATCTGTCGGCAACTCCTTTGCTGGATGTGCCGCACGATCAGTGTCGTTCCTGTCCCTGCTCGCTTCTTCCGGGTTTTTTGCCCGCAATGTTCCGCACAGGGATTTCAAGGTTCCGCGAACGTCGGATTTGGTCGGAGTGTCTTCCCAATCTTCATCAATCTTCCAAGCTGGCAATGGCTCTTTGGACCAAATGACACGATTGCCCTCTCTTCCCCGCAAAAGTCATGTGGACCAAAATGCCTCGTGCTGCCTCGGCAGCCCAGCCCCGTGGCTCTCCGGCGTCCCCCATGAACATCAAGCCGCTTTCCAGGAATTTCCGCTCGTGTACAATGCAACGTCAACCAATTCCAGAACCAAGGCGACATGGAAACCCATAAAGAACCATGGACCCGGGAACTTGGATGGAACATTGATGGATAGGATATGCAAAGTACATGCACAGTGCATTCATAGTGCATTATAGTGCATCTACCCAATCGGTTTTATCCTCTAAAAAGATGCTCCCAAGTGCTCCACCCGTGGCCGAGTGTCGAGGTCAACGTGGCCTCCACCCGTTCCATCACCTCGTCTCCCGACTCCGGCGACTCATGGAGTCGTCGGACGGTCCGATGAGACAAAGGTTATGGTTGATGGTGTTCCACTCCAACTAGGAGCTGTGATCGATCAACAGTCTACATGGGAGGTGAAGAAAGCGAGTTGACCACTCAAACATACCGAAGCTTTCATCCTCCTGGGCATCCTCCCTCCTGTGTCCAAACCACTGCTCAATTCAGCACTTTGGGATGCCCCAATTTGAACCAAATGTTTCTCATACCACTCCCACTCCCACAATGAGAAGCGGTGTGTATGGGAAGCGGTGCGCTATGGATTCCCTTTTGTCATCTTTTGATATCTTTTGTCCATGGTCGTTTCAATAGTCGCGGGGCCCAACACACAACGACGGAAGGGCAGCCCCAAGGGAGACAGGTCAAAACCTATGACTAATATGTGTTCCTCTGCTTCTCAGTGTTTAAGATGTTGTTTCATTTTCATTTCCCATTTTGGTTGGATAGAAAGTGCACAGGGCCAAACCCTCCAAGCAGCAAACAAGTGTTAACTTACAATATTAAAGGCCGCCATTGAATTTAAGCTTTGATGCATGTACTTAAGGTCTTGCTCAGGCGGAGAAACAATATAATGACATTAGTAGTGAATCAATTGAGAAGTGTCTCGGGGTAAAGGTTATGTCAAACACATCAGGTTGAAACATTAGATATGGTCATGCAGCATGCAGCCGCCATAGACACATTTTCCTTCCTTGGACTGTGCCTGATCTGGTCTCTCACATAAATTTGACGGCGACCCTTTGCTCGCCAAATCAGTGCGGATTTGTTCATCTGGCACAGTTCAAAAGTGTTAGCAAACACAGAACACAAACAAACAATGTGTGAATGGTATTGTCACATTGTCAAGATTAAACAACTATATTACAATGGCTAGCCAATTTGTTGTGTGCCACCTCCTAGCCCCTGGCAGCACCAAAAATGAAAATATGCTGAAATCTCGCCTGGATTATTGAATCCTAGCGTTTGGAACAGCGGTGAGAGTTCTTGGCACGGTTGGCACTGACACTCTGATTTGCGCCACGGGCACTAGAGGATTTCTGAAACAAATCAGTCAAGGAAACACAGCCGTTGGCTGCTCTACCCTTAGCCTTTGCTTTCGCTTTGGTAGTAGCACTTGCCTTGGCCTTGGCAACAGGTTTTGCACCTGCTTTGGCCTTGGATTTGGGAACGGTTTTGGCCTTCGCTTTTGCGATAACCTTCCGCTGCTTCTCGGTCAGGACACGCTGCTGCACAGGTGGCAAAGCGGATCGCAAATCAGCTTCAAATTTCTCCTTGATGCTGATCATAGGGTCCTGAACCTCATTGGTGATGTCCTTCTTATCAAGGAGAGCACGGGAGGTCATAGCAGAGGCCATTTCGTCCAAATCACCTGCAATCTCGGCATCATCAATGACCTGCAACTGCAGGACATAGCTCAAAGGTACAAAACAAAATCAGAAACAACAACAACAACAGCAAACACTCTTACCTGACCCCCTAGCCCCACCCCAACCATCCTGCTCCAACAATTGCTCCAAACTTTCTAGAGCTTCTTCTTCCACATCCACATCCCGGTACTTACGCTTCTTCTTGTCTTCTGGATTTTCTGTCTTCTCTGCTTTTTCTGCGTCATGCCTGGCATCTTTGTGTTTTTTGTCTTTTTTGTCTTTCTTTTCTTTTTTCTCTTTCTTGTCTTTTTTGTCTTTTTTTTGGTGTTTTTCTGTTTGATCTGTGTCATTCTTGTTTGTCTTGCCATCTGCATGCGTTTTGGCCACCACCAAGGCCACTGGTGCCGAGCTTGCTGCCAGTGTTGGTGCTGTTGGTGTTGAAACTGGACAACCCACATCCAGCTTCTGGGCAGCATCACTGGCAGGTTTGCTCAATTCGGTTGGCTTGGTGGCTGTCAATGCCTGTGGAATCTCTTCTACTTTCGGTTTGTGGTTTGCTCGTGGCAATTCACAATGCTGAAAAGCAGTCTGACAAGGAATGGGTACAAGTGCTAGCGCTTGACCAGGCTCTGCCAGTGCAGTTGCTGGTTGTTCAGACTGGCCTGGCAACCTGGTCTGGTGATGCGCTTCTGGCTCAGGTAGTGTGCTTGTTGGTGGTGCAGACTGGTCTGGCAACCCAGTCTGGTGATGTTCTTCTGGCTTGGATACTGCGCTGGCTGATAGCTCAGACTGGCCTGGCAACCCAGTCTGGTGATGTTCTTCTGGCTTGGGTAATGCAGTTGCTGGTGGCTCAGACTGGCCTGGCAACCCGGTATGTTGATCTTTTGCTGCTGGCTCCAGAGAAGCACTTGCTGGTGGCTCAGACAGAGCTGGCGGCTTGATGGAAGCAGTGTCAGGCATGGATGTGCTTGGGAATTCTGCTTTTGGCTGATGCTGCCAAACCGGTACATTCTGCTGAATCTGGCTGGAGCGTATGTGTAAGGTCATTCCTCGTTCAGCCAACCACTTCACAAAGAACTCCAAGTCTGCTTCTGGATCTGAAGAGTTTGCATCTCCCCACTCCCAATCGTCATCAAGATCTGCTCCCAATGTAGGATCAGTCTTAAGCAAACGAATGTGCTCTGCAAGCAGTGGATGCTCAAGGGCAAGCTTCATGTCTCTCTCAAACTTCTCATCGCATGGTAGCTCATCATAGTCCATTGCTTTGTCTGCATTCTGTTTTGCGCTGGCTTGTGTGCTTTTGCATTCTATGGTTTCTCCAATGCTTGTGGTGTGTTTGTCATGTGTGCTTCCACTCATCTCTCCCTGCCCCGGTCCATCTCCATCTGCAGGCATGTAGCGATTCCTGACTGATTCCCAATCAGGCTCCCGCGACTTGATGAAGTCATTGAGGAAACCAGTCATGCCATTCCTGAGGCACAGCATGAGCTGATCAAAATCCAAAGCAACACCCAAAGTTTTCAGAATGTTTCTGACTAGTATCTCTGGAAATTGGTTGAGCAACATCTCCATGGACCCCTCATCATCTGAGTGAACAATGTGCAAAGGTACCCGCAAACCCATGCAGTTATCGTTCACAAACTTCTCCACCACAACAGCTCCACATGGTACCACCAATGCATCACCGGCCAGCACACACCCAGCCGCAAACGAACCAAGCACCTTCAGCCGGTCTGAATCAGCCGTCAAATTTTGTAGGCCGTTCAAAGACTCCTGGCTAACAGACCAACATGGAAGTGGATAGGACAAGTGATGAGACCATGCTAGCTGCATCAAAACAAAACCCAAAAAAAAAGTTCAGGGAACACAGGTTGATAAAAATAAAAACAATTTCTCCTTGAAGTCAGCACCAAACCCATGCTTCACATCCTCCAATTTGGCATAGGCAAGCAGGCGGCTTCTACTCAATTGATATTGGATCTGGCCTAAGCCTCCAAAGCCCGTTCCGCAGGTAACTCCGCCCCGGCGGTAAGCAAAGAATACCGCATTGATCAGCTTTGTCTTCAACTCTTGGGTCTGGTGCTCACCAAAGCCTTTGGCTCCACAATAGGATGAAAGAGAACCTTCATCCACCATCGCAGATTGCAAGTAAGGCAAATCAGCATCTGGATCAGCAATGCCAGAATCGTGAACTGCCTGACCAACTATGATTTACACAATGTAATGTACTGTAATACAAACTCAAACACAAAACCTAGCCCCAAAGCTATTGTGTCCACCACTTGGACTGTTTCTGTCAACGTTGTATAACGGACAAAAAACAACAATTACACACAATAATCTCACAGGCCTTCTTTTTCTCATCAAGGTAGTCATTCAACAAAGGATCCAGTGACATCTCTTCCAGAAAAGGAAAATTGCTCAGGTCCTTGATGGCAGACGTTCTCTTCGCATCTGCTTCAAAAGCATCAGCAACATCAGTTCTGAAGTCACTGAGCTGCCCTGAAAAAGCTTGGGTCATGCGCTGCTTCTGGCTCTCCTCCAAACCATGTTCCTCGGTTGAAGCATGTATTGTATAGCGTTGTTTCTTTTTGTGTATCAGTGTTACTATCAGTCATATTGAAATGAAACACATGCATTTGTTTGCTGAACACTGCGCCTGAATTCTAGCAATAACAATAACAACATCTTGTAAAATAATATTGAAATCAAACTTAGCGTCTGCAAGCACCTTGGACACCAAAGATCGCTTTAATCGAATGATGACCACACTGGATTTCGCGATAAATGGAAGAGCTTGCGCCTTGGAGATGCATTGCAATTCAACTGAAATTAAATCAATATGTTGGTTGGTGGTTGCAAGCAGCCTTCAGAATTCATGGGTAAGGAAAAAAAACAAACAAAGAAACATCCATGCTCTGCTAAGATGCAATGGTATCCACAACAGGTATTTGATGCTTTGGGAATCTGCTCTGTAGGACTGCTGGATCAGAGTCAGCCAAATCCTGCAACAATTTGCTTGCGACTCGTCTCCTTCTGGGGTCATTGGGCACCGGCTGATTGTCACCTTGGTCACCTTGATTAGCATTCTCTGCGTTGGCTGCTGCAGCCGCCTCTGCGTCTCTCTTTTTCTTCTCTCTGGCTGCTTTGCTCTGTGCTTTCTTCTCATCTCGCTTTTTCTGTGCTTCTTCTGCTTTTTTCTCTTGCTCCAAAGCCTTTGCAAGAGCCTTTGCTTTGGCCCTATATTCTGTGCAGGATGTAAGAACAGACTTCACCAAAGCATGCATCAAAGACAATGACTTCACCCATTGGTCAAAGAATGCGTCGACTTCATCTGCTGAATGATGCATGCCTCCAAACTCCCTCTCGAAAGAAAGTGTATCAAGTAGTTTGATGTCCTCTCGTGTCAAGCCTTCCGGCAAAGATGAAAAGTATGGATCCTCCTGCATAAGCTTGTAAAGTTCATCCTCCAATGCTGGGTACTTCTCACGAGATTCTGCCTCCTGACCAAAGAGGTCAACCTGGTCAACATTCGGCCAAATTTCCCAAACCACACCCAAACCCTATGATAGAAACACACCATTTGATGTC